GCAGGAGTGGGGTGGCAGCGCCCAGCTCTGCCTTAATGAATTGGCAGCGGGGCTGTGTCAACAAACACACATCCACCGGCTCATGCCTAATTCATGAAGGCTGCACCACGTGTGGGAGACGTGTTAAGGAGGCAGCGGCGCCCTTAAAAACCATGTCATCTTGATTTCTTGGGGGGTTTGTTGTTGTCTTCAAGCATGGAAAATGGGGAGCATGTGCAGGACTAGCAATGGTAAGCAGGAGAGGGGCTCTTCCCAGGGGGATCCGACCTCCTGTCCAAGCTCCCCGGTCATGCCAGCTGTTTCCAGGACAGATGCCACGAGTGTCACTGCTTATTCTGGACACACGAACCTGAAGAATTTGCAAGGAGTTAAGAAAAAATGAGCTCATCTGGCCCATGGTTACTGAGTTGTAAAAATCTTTGGACAAAGAGTTATGAAAAAAAGATTAATAGAAACCCGGGGACCCCCTTCTCTTTTTGGGTACCCCCTGTTGGCCAGGTCTCCAGGGTGATTTGTCAGGAGGTGATTCTATCATGGGAAGCTGTGAAGGGACAAAGCCAGGTGTCTGACAGGCAACAGTGACCATGGCTGCAGCATCTTTTTAGTTATTTTCCTGGAACGAAACCCAGTTCTCTGCAAAATTGCCATGTCCAAGGGACAGTGGGCTTTAGTGTATTATTATTATTACTATTATTATTTCTTTTTACTGAGGTAATTTTCCAGCACAATCTTCTCTTGACCTGTCAACTGAAGACTCTGCTGTCTCTATCATTCCTTAAAGTAAAATGATTGATCATATAAAAATAACTTCTTAAGTTTCTGAGTCTGGATATAGCATAGTCTGGAATTTCAATGATGCAAAACATTCATACACGCTTTGTTTTTAAAAATGCAGTAGTTATTATCTTAGCAATTTTCTACTTTTCAAGTTTACCTCAGGATGGTCTTGAGAGTGAGGTCTGGTGCAGATGTGAATGAGGTGATGAACTGGGTCCGGGAATGTGGTTACCATGCAAATCCAAAGGCAACGCGCACACAATCTCCGGAGCGCCCCGCCCGTGGGCTGTAGGATCCCCACTGTGCTGATGGGTGGGTGGAGGATTCACAAGTGAAGGCACATTTCGGGGAAGGAACACCGTATGTGATGAACAGGGGGAACACGTAGCTTGGTGACAATGCAGTCAGCCCCATGCCCAGCAGCTCTGCAGCGCTGTACTGAAAGTGGGTTCCTGTGTTGGTTCTGGGGCATCGCTGGGTGCTGGGCACAGCACAGAGGGAGGCCAGAGGGCGGCCAGAGCAGAGAGGGTGGCCAGAGGGAGGCTGTCTCTTCCCAAATGTGCACCATTCTTGAGGAGTTGACCCCCGCAGAAGAAGGTGCATTATTTTAGGGGTGAGGATAATTAGGATAATTACACACATCGCTGCAGGTCTTGCGTTTGTCAGTGGGAATGCAAAGGTTACATCTGTACGTATGTCTCCTCCCAGTGAGCGGGCACTTCGTTAACCACCCAGCATGTGGAAACCCACTCAGTCTTTCCAAGAACCCCACGGAGCAGGTTATGGACTACATGTCTGCATACCCCAAATTCAAATGTTGACGATATAAAGCCCAGATGGAGTGCCGAGGAAATAACAAGGGTAAATGAGGTCACACGGGTGAGGCCCTGATCTACTGATTAGTGTCCTAAGGAGACACCCCAGAGAGTCCCTCTCTCTCCCGACTCCTTCACAGGAAGGAGGCAGCCATGTGAAAGAGAGGAAGCAAGCCCACCCGGGACCCTGAGCCCGATCAGACTTGACCTGTGCTCTGCAGCCTCTGCCACATCTGTGGTTGAGGCCTCAGCTGGCGTACCTTGTGATGGCAGCCCCCGCTGGCACACGCCGTGGCACAAGCGTACTGCCACTCCTGGAAGCAGTGGGAGAGGCCCCTCTAGGCTGGCCACATGGTGAGCATCTGCCACACAGGCCCTGAGCCAGCTCACCTGCCTCCCACCGGGTTCCTGGCAGACAGGAAATTGCAAGGCAGAAGCGGGTTTGATATGTTCAGTCCATAAAATAGTGCTTTGTAAGTTTTTGCACCTTACATAAGGCACCACTGTAATCTGACATATCAGTTTAATTGGTATAGCCTTTCCACTAGGGAAAATTTCACATGGAAACACAGTTTCTAATCTTTTTCTTAATGTATGGGGCTTTTGGTATTTTCAAAACATTCCTTTAACGTCTGAAACATTTTCTTATGTATGTTTTCTGTATAAGTTTTGAAGCTTTGATACAAAGACAGACTCTTGTCGGGTCTGTATGTGTAACCAAATGACCTAGCTCACTTGCTCACAAAGCTCACATGTTCCTCAAGAATTACGTGTCTTTCCACTTTTGCCTGCAGTCAACACTGGAGTGCTGTTTTGATCGCTTAGTCCATTTATCTCTTCTTATCAATTTGTGGCACCTATAACTCTCCCTTTCCTTTTTATTGGTGTTCTTAGGACAGGGTTCTGCTGTGCAGTTCAGGCTGGCCTTAAACTTGTTATGTGGCCCAGGATGGCCTCAAACCTGCAGTGATCCTCCTGCCTCAGCGTCCTGAGTGCTGGGATTATAGATGTGTGCCATTATGCCTGGCTCAAACTTTCTTTTTTCTTATAGCCCTTGAATAGCCCTTGAGTGGTATTGATTTCAAGGTGGGTCTAGCCTTATAAAATAAACTAGAGGAGCACTCTTTTTCTAGCCTTTTAGAATAATTTTTATAAAATTTACATAATGTATATTTACATTTTATGTATTTATAAAATTCATGAGATTCCAAGTATTTGTAGCATTTGTAAAATTTGATGATTTATTTCTTTACTAATTGTCACCTATAAGTATATTAGGGCCTAGTATATAAGCATGGGTCAATTTTTAACTATATTTCAATTTTTAAATGATTATTATTTAGTCAGAATTTCTGTTTCTTTTGGAAAGAAAACAACATTTTCCTAGAAAAGTAGCTAGTTTATTACATGCATTGTAATTCTTTCTATTCTGTTATGATAGAAAGTATCTTACTTCTAACACTGGCTATATGTGGTTTTCTTCCTCTCACTTCTGATCTATTACCAGAGGTTTGTCTATTTCATTCATTTTTCCATGAAACCAGGTTTATATTGTGTTGACCTGTCTTACTGCTTTCTGGTACATTTCTGCTCTGATATTTACTGTTTCCTTTCTTCTTTCTTAGGCTTTACTCTATTCTTCTTCCTTCCTGAGTTAGACGTTCAATCTCCCTTCTTTAATGACAGTGCCCCCGCGGTGGGCACTGAAATGCACAGCCACGAGGCCCTCCGGTGGCTTCTCAGTGGATGCGCACACAGCCTAGGCACAGTCTCCCGCATGCTTTAAACCCTCTCTAGCTCAGCTATAAAATACCTAACGTGGTGTAAATAGCTGTCATGCCGTGTTGCTCAGGGGACAATGACAACGCAAAAAGTAAAAGTCTGTCCACGTTCAGTACAGATCTACTTTTTTTTTGGTACTGAGGACTGAATACGGGCATTCATACTAAGCTATTTCCCCAGTCCTTTTTAATTTTTAATTTTGAAACAATGTTTTGCTAACCTGCCCAGGCTGGGTTCAAATTTGCAGTCCTCCTGTGTCAGCCTTCCAGCAGACTCTATTCCCCGCCAAATATCTTCAATCCAGAGGTGGCTGAATTCCCGGATGTGGTACCCACAGACACAGCGGGCTGACTGTATCCGGCGCTGGACGGTCGGCAGCCCTGAGTATTTTCTGATTTATATTAGGTGTTTGACTCTGACTGTCCACCCCTTGTGGTTTTCTTGAGACTACTGCACGGGCGCAAGACACTATCTTCTGTCCTCTGTGGGCTTTCCATCCCACATCCAGGGTCAGGCTGAAGGAAGCCCCCGCCCCTACGCAGGACACAGAGCCCCGGCTACTCTGAGGATGGCCGCCCTTCCCTTCTCTCTGATGGTGGCCTCTCACCTGACCTCTGGTCTGGGAGCCTGTGTTCTCCAGGGCTATGCTGCATGTTTTAAACATACATATGCATGCAACCTACATGCACATTAAAATACATACTCATAGTTGGTATGGAATTTCTAGCCATTTTTGGGGGCTTGTTAGATCTGTGTCTCGGCTAGCCGTTTAAGTGTCTTCCAGTTTCTGAGCAGCTTCATATACAAGAACGCAAATGTCTCCCTCCCTCGTTTATACCTCCGGGTCCTCTTGGAGGTTGTTCAGAGACAACCCCTTCGCAGCTCCTGCCTCAGTATCACAATTCCAGGCTAACCTGTAGCTGCCTTTACCGAGGGTGATGCTCCCCATACCGACTTGCGTATGAAGTACTGCCTTGGGTTCTACGCTTGAGCGTAACCATGGAACCGGGCCTGTGATAGAGAAGGCACTGGGGCTTTCTCCTTTTGGAATAACCCCTAGCACACTGCTGCTGGGATGACAACAGCTCATTTCTTGGCTAAACACAAACAGCGCTCAGAATGGCCACTCCAGAGCCAGCAGTGTGAGATTCTGGTGCGGCTTCCCACTCCCATTTCACAGTGGGAAAGCTGAGGCCCAGGACATCCCCACGTGACAGCAGATACTGGCGCTCTGACCCGAGGGCAGCTGCCCGTGCTGCCCACCGCTGCTGGAGCCCATTTCCCCGGGGTGGGGAACACAGGCGTGTCTAACACGGTGCCCGTGGAGTTTCGACACTTGAGCTCCAGCACTCAGGCTCGGAAGTGTTTTCGTTGCTCAACAGAGCCCCGAAAAAAGGGCTTTTAAACCCTGAGTGCTCTTCCTGTGTGTTGCCATCAAAACGAATGAAAGCAATTGGGGCTATGTTTACTGCTAATTTTTAAGCGAGTGCAGCAAGTGACGGGGGAGCGGGGCAGTTAGTGCTTTCTGGAGTGTGCATCAGACTTCAGGAGCTTGGCTCAGGCCTCCCTTCCTGCTACCAACGAGCCCAGGGCCGGGGTCGTGTGTGCCAGATGGCGGCAGCTTACCCTTCCCACCTCCACCAGGTTGGTCACCATGATGATGCTCGCCGTGTTCTCGTGCCATACCATCCTCCAGAAGTCAGAGATGGTCTCCTGCATCGGCCCTGCAGCGAGAGAAAGGACACTTGGCTTTTCTCGGGGAACTTTTCAACCAGAGACCTTCCGGGACTCGCAAATACACCAACGGACACCACGCACAGGTCCCTCACTGGTGCAGCGACCCGGCTCCCTGCGGCTAGGCTGGAAGGTGCTCTTTCTAGAACAGCACCCACAGCAACCTCAGATCCTCGTGGCCGGGTCTCCTCGCCACGTCGTGTTATCCGCATCTGCACTCTCTTCACCCCTCTTAAACTACCACCGTGAAAGAAAGCTATTTCTCCATCATTCAGCTATTTATCTCCATAATACTCCAGAGTGAAATTTTAAAAAATGGATAACATTACTCTTCCTGCTAACAATTGGCAGATATCCCAGGGAAGTGGTACAGAGAATGAAATGAGCCTCCATAGGAAAAATGGCCTTTTCTTCTGTTTAATATTTTTCTTATTCAGTGCCATCTGTCAAATTAATCCATTTTTTTCCGCCTGACTTTCTAAAGTGAGAGAGAAGTGAAGAGTTTTAAGCAGTTCCACTTCTCACTGAACATAAAGATTCCTGGTAGAACGTAGCTGGGAACCAACTTCCTTAGCATCTGAAAGCTCTTTCCTGTGGCTCTGGAATGAAAGGTAAGGGGGAAAATACGTATCACAAATGCCAGTGATGTTGACATCCAGGGGAGATTTGAAATTTAAAATTTCCTTTCACACAGATTAAAAAACCCACCCAAAACCAAAGTCTACTTTATGTCCTCTTTGAGGGTGCGAATGGCAAAGATGAGCAGAAATGCAAGGAAGTAGGAGAAATGGACTTCAAAGGTGTGGAGCAACCGGCGATGCACACAGGACCCTGGGGGGTTCAGGCCCATGCAGAATCAGCTCCTGTACTGTGGTACTCTGACAGTCCCTGTTCCTGGACTTGCAGCCGAATTCCAGAATTGCAGATCTGCTTCTGCCTGCTCCCTGGCTTGTGAGGTGGGGCCAGTGACTTTAGCCCCAGCAGGCCTCTGTGTCTTCCTTCCGCTGTCGATGGGATAGCGCGCTGGCTTATCTGGAGGATTCCTGGAATCACCGTACATGCACCTGTCTTATAGCAGCCCAGTGATGGGAGAAGAGAAGGATGTTTAGAGACACCCATCTGCGGTCTGGACGCTGAGCCACGGCACATACCCCAGGGACTCCTCCACCACCCCGCTCCCCTTAACCCCTGAGCGCAGGTTCTTGTGCATTTCTGCTCCACTCCTCCAGAGCACACACTTCCTCTCCTCCTGAGAAAGCTGAGGTGTGAGTCTAATCCCAGTCTGAGTCTAATCCTTTGGGGAGTGGGCAAGCACCCCACTTCCCATGAAGCTGTGCTGGCTACTGCAACCCCTTCCTTGGGCTGAGTGCTGCTGTCCTGATGTGGCGGGCGAAGACTTCAGGGACTGTCATCTAAGGTCACGGTGGGGACTCACCACCAACAGATTCCAGCAGTCCCATTTCCAGGGGGGCCTCTTCATTGTGTCTTCAGCCGCCTGTTACTTATTCGCAAGGCAAGGACCGTGCTGAGTCCTCTCGACAACCATGCAGCCTTCCCAGGGTGACCCTGGTTGCGCAGGGGCAGCCTTCCCCAGGTCCACAGGCCTGGGCCACCTTCTCGGATACGTCTAGGTGTGGATCTGATGGAGACAGGGAGTGGGCGGTGTTCCAGGACGTGGCTCGAGTCTCCTCTGGGGGGAACTTCCCGAGTGCCTGCGTGATGCCTCGCACACAGCAGGGCCTCCACAACTGGATGGATGAATGGATGGATGGACGAATGAGTCTGCATGCATGTGTGTAAACCATCTGATTAAGACATTCCATCAACTGTAGGTTAAGTATTAGTAACAGTAACACACAGTGTTGGTGTGGTCCCCTTCTCGGCTTGTATTTCTAAAGTTATCTGCAGCAGCTTGGGAACCCAGCACCTTGCTCCTTCCCCATTCAGGAAAGGGAGCGTCTTGGCAGGGGTCTCCTCAGAGCCAGCGTGCTTATCATCACTCATCCCCTGGGTGCAGCCTTGGACCTGTGGCTCCCAGCCGACTCACTCGCAGATGGCTGTCCCAAGTCCCCAACCCCAAGCTTGGCTTCACTTCCTCGCTCCACTGGGCCCATTCCTCTGGGTACCAGGAGTGCCATCCTCCTCCAGGAGACCGAATTCACTGGCCTGGGTGGGGTGAGCCTGGGTGCGTCTGCGGATTTCTGGTGCTGGACAACATCAGGGTGAGGGTTCCACCTTCTAACCCCATTGTTCTGTGATCTGCTCAGGAGCTGTCCGCATGAGTTTCTACAGATCTGTTTTGAACCTGCTGAGCGGTCTAAATGTGTGCTCCAGCCCTCTGAGTCCGGGAATCTCATTTCTCTGGCAGGGAGAAGGAATTTGCTCACCTATTGCCACCCAGGAACAAAGCCAGCCACTGCCCTCACCACTGAGCGGCAGGGAGGTGGGCCGGGGTTTTTAATATTCACACAGCTCAATTTGCATTGTCTTTAAAATAAAGGGTGCTCACAGGCATTAATGGCTCACTTGGGGGATGACATATACTTCCCTCTTCCTATTTTCTTACCCACTGACCTGAACTGAAAATGAAGATTAGGACAGAAGAATGAATGAGGCAAGGTTCTTCTCATGGCTACAATCAGGCACCTGCATCCAGAAGCAGCAAAGCAATGTGATGCTCAGGTCTCAAACCAAAACGGAACACTGACTATTCCAAATTGATGCCAAAATGAAAGACAGTAGAACTGGAGGGCGTTCCCTCCCCACGGGGCGCTTTGGCCTCATTCCTTCTGCCTCTGGCTGCTTGGCGGGAGGGGGATGGGTGTCTCTGCATTTGAAGCATGGCCAGGGGTGTCCACAGTGGGTGGCAGAGATTCTTAGCTGATGATTCAAGATATTTTTCTGAGGGTTCAAGCATATCTTGTTTCAGTTTTTCTCTTTTGGAGGGTGGAAATGGAGGAAGGTTGGCACCAAATATAGTGTAAGGTTTTTAATGTAGAATTTGTCAGATTATATTTTGCTTTCTTCTCTTCAATGCTGCCTTAGTTACTTTCTTGTCACTGAAGCACAATACCTGACACCCACAAGTTAAGCGAGAGGTTTATTTCAATTCACAGTTTGTAGAGGTTTCAGTCCATGGCCGGCTGGCTTTAAGGCAGGGTGGAATGGCAGAGTAGAAACAGTCCATGGCATGGTGGCAGGAAGCAGAAAGAGATCAAGGGAGGAGGAGGGAGACAGACCCTTCCAGGCCACACCCCCAGTGACACGCCTCCTCTCACCAGGCTTCACCTCCCAACATCAAGTTTAACTATGAACTCATTAGTCAGCTAAACCACTGCTGAGTATCCACCTCCTTGACTGCACTGCCTCCGCAAAGCCCCACCTATGAGTGTATGAGGCTTTGGGGAGACAGCTAGACAGAAACCATAATTTAAGGTGTGGAAATTTCATGCCACCAAGCCAGTAGTACATTCCATTTCCTTCACAACAGTCAGCACACACAGACCTCTGCTGCAAAGGAAACATGCAGGGCAGCCATTCATGGCCACCAGGCCTTGGAAGGACATCAACAAAAAAGGGGCAGAAGGAACTAACTCTCAAGAAAAAAGATGAAATGTAATTAAGAGCATAAGGGAAAAGAATTCAAGGATGGACTCTTTTGTGCACAAGGAGTCCTCCAGTTCGTGATAAGAGAGAGATTAACATTGTGATCTGAAACCTTGATAGATGCCTCCTTGTACTGCTTCTTTTCACATTCGAATTTCTGTGTGGTGTGTTTGTGTCAGTTAAAGCTGCAGGAAAGTCAAGGTCCTTTGAAAGCTTGTAGCAGCACATTCAAATTTTTCTTCTCTTTTTAAAGTAATGCACAATGCCCGTTGGTGTTACATTACCCACAGAATAAAATCTAACATCTTTTGAGCGGTTTTGACTTGCCAGATCCTGCTCGACGCACTTCATGTGTATCATCTCGTTGAACCGAAACCTCGACATCCTGTCAAGTAGGTACCACTGTTCTCCTCCACTCCATAGAAAGCACAGCGAGACAGGCACAGAAAGGTTACGTTAGTGGTCCAAGGTCATGGAGCACACTAGGGCAAAGCGATAGACATGGGGCCCTCATGTGCAGAGACAGAGGAGTTTGTAAAGCTTGTGGGTTCAGACCTGAGCAGAAGACAATAGATATTAAACAACACAATTGAAAAAGATCAGCCACATTTATAGGGGTGGCTGGTGGCCTGACAGACCCTGAGATGGGGACATGCACTGCACAAAGTTCAACAGATGTGGACTCAGCCTCTAGCTGACTGGTATCATCAGCAGCTGGGGGTGAAGGGAGGGGCCGGGACCTGTCCATGGCCAGCCAAGAGGACGGAAAACACAGCGCAGCTATCACAAGGCCAAGTTCCAGGCTCCCACTGAATGTCCTGCATGTTCCACATCGAAGAGATGGACCCTTAAAAAGCCTGCACAGGTGTGAATGCCAGGGATGGCTCTCCAGGCTGGTGGAGACCAGCAGCAGAAATGTCCGAGCAGGGCAGGTCTGGATCCCTGGGACACTAAAAATGTGGCTCAGGTGGCAGTGAGATGAGACCAGGAGAGGGAGCAGTCCGGCGTACAAGGACCAGCCCTGAGCTGGGCTTGCTCATCCGGCCAGGGCAGGGTGGGACCCTGGGGACTCAGGTGGGATTCAGCCCTGGCCAGGGCACCAGGCACCAGGAAGGGTGGGCTTGCGTCTGCCCTGGCTGGGGAGGCAGGGTGGAAATCAAGGGAGACACCTGTTCCTAGGGCTGTGCCATCAAAGAAGCCAAGGGGTCTGGGAGAAAGTGAGGGGGACCCAGGACCAGCACAGAGAAAAGTAAATGAGGCACAAGTGTAGATACCCCACAAGCTGGTGCTGTGAACCGTGCTGTGTGCGGTTTCACCTGTCCACTGTTGCAAACGTCTGAGGCAGGAGCCACCTGGTGAGCGATGGGCCCGGAAGGTGAAGTGACTTTGCTAGGGCTGCGTGGGAGCAAAGCCAGGTTCCAAGCCAGGCCACTGCGCTACGGTGATCTTATTCCAGAATGAAGCAAATGATGCCACTCCCAAAAGGCTGCGATGTGGCTGGAGATACTGGCCTGGGAGCTGGAGAAGGGGGTGTGTAACACAGTCACAGCAAGTGGCAGAAGGGCAGACAGGCGAGGAGGGACCCTAAGGTGACAGAGCTGCAAAGGAACCAGGGTCTGTCCTTGGGGCTCTGGCCTGGGCTCGGCTGGGTCCAGTTCTTTGGCCTAAAGTTCAGTGTCCAAATCGGAGACCACCGGAGCTACTCTGCAGATGTGGGAAGGGATGAGCCTGAGATTTATGCATTCATTTTAAAGCTCTTGCTACATACATAAATGTGGCCCTAAATTTTTGATCCATTATTGCTACTGTTGCTGCTGGCGATAATCTATAATAAGTATTATAAAGCCGGTTATTTGGCAGAGAATTAGACAGCCCTTCGGTGGTTTCTGAGTAAGTTTTTATTACAGAACTTGATGTGATTTTTCAGTATGATACTGCCATAACAGCTACGTCCATAATTTCACATTTAGTACCTTTTCATTTTTGGAGGCATGAAATGTAAAAGGTAAGATCTGCTGCTGTGCTTTCCAGACGCAAGCGGTATCGGTGACACAGAAATCAGCTGGCTTCTGCATTAATCATCGTTCACATCACTTATTCGACGGACGCATTTGCTCTCCCCTGAGGCTACCTACATTAAAACTGTGGGATTTTTATGAATACTTTTTGGTTTGAGCTGCACAAAAAGAAAAGCAAAGCTGAGGTGACTTGGTACGTGGGATGTGATCTGCTCATTTTCCTAAATCGGTAAGAACATCCCAAGAAAATGAGCACTGAAAAGAAACAATAAGTCCCGCTAATGAGTGAGAAACAGCGCACTGGGAAGTGCCCTATACTGGAGGAGAAAACTTGGGGATATTTTATTTTGCTCAAATGCGGAACTAGAGCTGGGAATGTGTTCACACAGAGTTTTCTAAGGTAGCTCTCAGGCGAAGCCCTCTGTAGGCCCAGAATTACAGGGTTAGCGTTGTTCACCTGTCCGCTGGAATATTAACTGGTGACAGTCAAAGAAGAGAAAATTGGCACTGGAGGTAAAATAACACACACACCCCCCAAAACCAAAAAAACCCCACCACACGCCCTTTCTTAAGAAGTATCGTCAAAAGTAAAGACTCATAGAATGATGTCCGAGGTGCTTTCAGGTGTAAATGTCACTGGTCCCCACACAAGGACAAGCCCCCTCTGCTGCTGCAGAACCTTTCCCCCCGCCCGAGTCTCCCCTTCACCTGTACACCGGGTGGCAGGTGCTTGGTTCTTCACCCCATTTTTTCTGGACAGGTCAGCTAGGAGCTCCTCTTACACTGCCCGAGGCAGGCTCCCCTTTCTGCCACCGCCTGTCACCTCTGCTCTGGCCACACAAGGCCAGGTGAGGTTTCCATTTCACACACCCCCTCCCCGAAATTCTCTCCTCAGACCTGGGAGAAGGATGCCCACCGCTGCTGCGCGCGTATTCGTGGCATCCTCTCCACCATGGGCTCCATGGATCCGTCTCCGCCCACACCTTCACATCATGGGGCCCCTGCCTGACACTACAAAGTGCGACTGAGCGCATCGATGCACATCCTGCCCAGAAGCACTGAGGAGTCTGGAAATCTCCTCACTTCACTGAGCCCTTCACCACGATCTCTTTTCCTGGTTAATAATCCAACTGTCATATTATTCATACATTCAATCAGAAATAATTATAAAATAGTTTAAAGTGCAAAAAGCACAGTTACACATGCATATTATTTTGTATTAATACATTTAATCAATAGCCATGTCATTCCTAAAACATACAAGAAGCCTAGTGTTCCTGTCTTACAAGTTACTATTATGTTGTGTCTTAGATCCGATATGGGCTTATTCCACCATGATTAGTCATTAACTCCTCCCTCCCCATATATTTTTCTATACTTTCATGGTTTTCCTGAGTGTAGTAGGACACAGTTCATGTATTGTCACACTACTATTATGTCTCAAGCCATATCACAAACAGATGAAAAAGTAGCGTTTTAAGAAAATAAGTTGAAAACAAATGACTTAAACATTCTGGTACTTTCTTCCTTTCCCTTATCCAGAACTCCAAGTTCTTTAAACAAAAACAAAACAAAACAAAAATGAATGAAAATAGTAGCTGCGAGAGCTAAATTTTCAAATGAGGTTTTTTTCCTCTTAAAAGTTACATTTTCAAATAATTTGAATGAAGCATTTCAAAGTAAAAATTTACAAGGTCACCCATAAATCCTGAAAATAACTTTGGACACATACATATTTATCTCTCATCATTTAGATGGATACATATAGTAATAAAATCTCAGATAAAGATTTTAAAATACTCATTTAGAAAATAACTCAGTTGTTATATCACTCATGGAATATGATGTTTTAAATTATATTCATGATTTTATTTAAAAAAATCTTATCTACAAAAATGCTGGCTGGCCAGGCGTAGTGGTACAAACCTGTAATTCCAGCACTTGGGAAGCTGAGGCAGAAGGACTGCTGGGAGTTTGAGGCCAGCCTGGGCTACAAAGTGAGTTCAAGCCCAGCCTGAACTCCATAGTGAAACCTTGTCTCAAAAAGCCAAAAAAAAGGGAAGAGAATAAAAAAAGCTACCATTCCAACTCAAAGGGTTCTGCAAGGTGACACAAATGTTCTACATATTAAGATACATTTAAAAAAACCACTTCTGTTTGTAAAAGAGAAGCAGAATAAGATCAATCTGATTGTGTTGCTAGGACATGTGCTTTAAAAACTTGTTAATATGTCATTGCTGAAAGTTCTTACTATCCACTTTGCTTATGTGGCATGAGAAGGGAGACTTTGGGTGTGGCAGAAGCCAACCTGCAAGCACGCAAGCCAGGCCACGGTGCGTCACTAAGGTAATGTCTGTATTTCACTCCCTATGTGTAAATGGGAGATTTTCTGGGAATTTTTTTTTTTTTTTTGTAAAGAATACAACAATGCATCATTTAAAAAAAAAATCACTTTTAAAAGAGCACCATGTCACCACAGTATCACTTTAAAAAGAACAGGAAGTTCTACAGTGCGTCCAATAGCCATTAGCACCCACAGCCCCTCCCCAGGGGGCAGGCCGCCCTGGCTGCGTAGGTATTTCAGTGTGTGACAGTGATCTCAGGAGTGGCCTGCGGGGACTTCTAGCTTCTCAGCCCACTGACCACATTTAGGTACCTGGTCACCCTCCAGGCAAGGAGAGGGTGGTGCCTGCGGAGGCTGCCCACCCAGACGGATAGGCTGCCGGAGCGGGCCGTGGCCACAGCCTCCCTCCACCTCCCTCCTGCTCTCCCTCTGCTCCTGTTTTTACTGTTCTCTATCACAGAAGATTATGTCTTAGCAGGGTGTTGTTCTCCAGTGGCTTCTGAGTCTTCCAAAGCTACTCTGAAACATCCCTGTGCAGTTCTGCTCCCAGACACTGCTTGGGATAAGGCTGCGAGGGGGCTCTGGTGAGCGTTCAGCCTCGTGCTGTGCTCACTCTGATGGAGCCCCATCAGCCTTTGGGATAACCAAGCCTGGCCTGTGTCGGCCAGACTTCAGAACCGCAGCAAAACTTGTCTCCCAGCATAGGGTACAGCTCACTGCCTTTCCAAGCCATGCTTACCAAGTTCACAATGATGGCGACCTCTGCACAGTAGAAGGGTGTGCAGGATGTTGGTGAAAACCTAGGTTTTCCCCTTGGATATATCCTTCTGGAAGGAGGTATTAACAGGTGCAGAATGTTTTAGCTTGTCTGTAACTATATGGATAAACAGTACATTTTGATAAAAGCCTAAACTGTCTCTGCTACTGAGAGATGTGTCTTTAGAATCTGTAAGACCAGAACGATAGCTGTGAGAATCGTAGCTAAATTGATTGACAGGTTTCCTGCGGAGCTGGTCCCGTGGCCTGGGTCATCTAACTCTGCCCATTTTCCCTCAGGATGGAAGTCTTGGCCTCCTTACTAAATATGTTTACACACAGGAAGACTTTTAGGGTCTAGACTCGAAGATCCTATTGTGACATTGCATAAGCAGAGGGATACTTATGAGTGAAGTCCATACATGGGCTAATCCCTAACATGACTTGCACTCACAACTGAAATGTTTCAAAGTGTTTCTGGAAATCTCATCTACTTAAGCCAGCCATTACCTGTGTTTTGTTCTGTGTGGACTACATTCAGCCCTGTTTCACAAGCACCCCTCTGTGACATCACACAAGCATCAGCTTGCAGTGACACCAGTGTTTGGGACCTAAAGGCTTCTGCTGTTCTTGAGCAGGAAGGTAGGTTGAGGCAGGCAAGCAAATCAGCTGTGAGTGTGAGGCTAACGTTTAGGTCTCCCCTGAGAGAGTCGGGTGGAGGGTGGGTAGTGCGTGGTGACAATCTGCTCCACAATGCAGAGATAGAGTCGCTGCTTCTGCAGGGACCTTTAATCCCCAATCCCTGGCTCAGGCTGTGTGACAGTGTGCAGTGGGGTAGGGGAAAGCTGGAACCTCGGGAGGGAGGCATGTAACAGGTATCTGTGTCCAGCCCAAGAGCCTCGCTCTGGCGGCAGCTTGGAGTGCTCGTCAGCCTTGGTTTCCAAAGAGAACTCAGCCTTAGCCGGGGACCTGTGCATGCTGGGAAGACGAGAACAGAAAGAAGGCGATCAAGGGGAAAAGAGAATGGCAGCTTGTGGGATGGAGGCTTGAGCAACCCAAAGGACCTGGCTGCCTTCTGCCAAGGAGAAAAAGTAGAGGGGAAAACCTCTATTCACACGCTTCGGGGGCTGCTGCTGGAGAAACAAAAGCTTTCATTAGTCTCTATCTTCTTTAATTAAGCTTCCCTCAGTACACAAGTGGGACCCTCTTTTATTTAAGAGAAAAAAGGATAAATCTAATAACTGAATAAAATAGAGATAAATTGGCTCCCCAGACGCGGGCCGGCACGAGCAACCGTGGACGTTCAATGGCAGCCCAGGGCAGCAGCACCAGCAACTTTCCAGGAGCAAACTTCCAAGTGAGAAGACAGGAAACTGAAGTAACTCATAACAGCAAGAAACTTCCCGAAGTGCCCGCTGCCTGGGCAGACCTGTGCACACCTGCGCCCACGGTGAAAAGGGTAAGGGCAGGTGCTTCACGGTCTACGCTGGGTCTCACTTCTCACCCGGCACACGGAAACTTGTCAGGGAGGGCTGTCTCATACGCACCCCCACGCTGTAATCCCGGGTCACTGCTGTGTCTCCCACCCAGGTGCAGCCTGGCACGCGGTAGGTACACAGAAACAGCTTAGTGTGGGACAAACCAAGTCACAAAGCAATGACTTTGTTGGAGGGGCCACAGTGCTGGAGGCCCAGGGAGCCATCAGGGACCGTACATGAGAATTCAGTTTCAGCACTACTCTCTCCCAGGACTGAACTTGGAAGACGTGGGCCTCTCTGTCTCCATCTCTCCCTCTTTCTCTCTCTCTCTGCTGAACAAAAGACCCCTTAGGAGACTCAGTCTGTGTGATCATATTGGTTTTCTCCTAAGCTGAGTATTGCATACACTCTATAATAAACTATGAATGTTAGTCCATACACTGTACTTTCACATGCAGGATTCATGTCAACATACGTGAAGATCATTTAGATCAATTTCCACTCTAAGTGACAACTATTTCAACTACAAAACAAAGAAGCTAGACCACGAGAGTTTTAAAAAGATCTACAGCTTTCAACTTCACCTGAGGTACAGGTCTAAATTCCTGTTAAAGAGTTAAAAGCAAATTGTTTTAGCTCTCACAGGTAAGTGAGATCTTGCAGTGCTGTCTCTTTGTGCCTGACTTATTTCACTTAACATGATGTTCTCTTAGGATATCGATGAGGTTGTGCATGCAAAGATTTCTTCTTTTTGTTACAACTGACTGGCATTCATTGTGTGTATATATGCACCACAGCTTTAAAATCCACTCATATTGATGGACGCTTAGGCTGTTTCAGTATCCTTACTACTGTGGCTCATGCCTTAACAAACATGTATTATATATTTAAAACAGCTAAAAGATAGGATTTTAAATGTTCTCAGCATGAAGAATGAACACTTGGGAGTGGTGGTACGCTACTTACTCTGATTTGACTGTTCCACAATGAATACGTGTATTGAAACATACACTATATCCCACAAAACACTTCAAAATAGGGTAAAATGTAACAAATTGAAAAAAAAAGCGAAGTGTTTGTTTTAAGACAACCTAAGAGTGGGCACCTGCTTAACACCAGGACAGCATCTGTCTTTAAATTGTTTTGCGCCAGTTTAGGTTCTGCTGTCTGGAGGACACATGTCTGCATACGGCACCCCAAACAGCAGAGGTGGATTTGAATCGACACGATCTGATTTTGGCTTCAGGTTTTTTATTTTGCGGTACTGGGTATTGGACTCAGGGCCTTGTGCACACTAGGCAAGTGCTCTACCACTGAGCTACATCCCTAGCACCCCCGATTCATCTTTTAATCTGCAAGCTTTCCTTAGATGTCCTTACTGCCAAGAAGCGTGTATAGGAGCAAAGGGCTGAGAGGCCTCTATGAAACTGACCATTTGAAAAACTGTTAAGTAAAATCAGACACATACATTTAAATATGGTATGGTTTCTCTTCTATGAGAAATCCAAAATTAAAAAAAAAAATTGAACAAAATGAAAGACAGATAGTAGCACACAGGAAGATTGATCTTTTGCAAGTGGGAAGGGGACCAGGGGAGGGAGGGAAGGAGCAGGGGGAAAGGGAAGAAGAAAAAAGAATGAAGATGTGTTCTGTACATGTCCCTACTCGCCAGGAGGAATATAATCATTATATATCACAAACACGGACTAATAGAGAAAAACGGGCTGGTATCTTTGGAAATTAACCCAATGAAGAGAAGTTATTGATTAAAGGAAGTTTCTGGGTGCGCTGTCTATTGGTTCATTCTCTCGAGCAAAGCCACAGATGGGTGGGGAGATGCAGGCGGGCCTTGCCCAACGCGGTCCTGGTGGCTGGAAGCCTTTGCCTGTGCAGAAACCACACTTCCCCAAAGCCTCCCTATTTAATGTTGGAACTGGAGAATACTCCATTTCACTTGGTGCCAGTCTCAAACAGGACACAAGTGAATCCAAAGCATCACTACAACCCATAGACAATGCAGGGACCGCTTAGCCGGAAGGAACAATGAGCTGCCATAGAATTTGCTCTAAGTGCGAGCCACATTAGTGCTGCAAGGATGGATAAAAACGTTGTTTACGAAGGCTGAGATTTTGATTTAAAAAAAACAGTTCTTTCAACTCTACTGAGAAATAATTTCAAGTGTTCATCTCCATCTGGAGGCCAGAACGCAGCAGACAAAAGCTTCTTTATAGAGCGTGTCGAACTCACATCAGTGCCCGAGAACTCTCAGCTCTGAGAACAGCTTGCCCGGGAAAGCGAAGCGAACTATTCAGAGCACTGTTATTTACTGCTCCAGAGGTCTGGAGGGGGATTTGGAGCTGGAAAAGTGTAAACCATATTTATCTTTCTGAAAATCTTTATTAAAATTGTCCACAGCACACACAGTGCGTGGGAGAGCAACAACAGACAGAATCCAGTTGCTGGAGCGCTTTCCACTGCGGAGCACGGGCTGCAGCTCTGCGAAGGCATCTGCTATAAACCCGCACTCTCTACTTCGACTATTTCCATCGTAATATTTGCCTTTAGCTGCAAGTCTCTGGAGGAAACTGATCTGGGTTTCTCTTCTTCAAATTATGGATGAAGTCGAATGGTGGTCAGAATTGATTCTGTCGGGCGCATGGGGGTATTTCTACAAACAGGGTCAAAGCAGAGCTAAACCACATCAGTTTAACTAGACAGACTATCTCTAAGGACAGGGCCTTGATTTACTGGTAGTGGTAGGAAATGTCATTTAAATAGGTGTTGATCAGCACTGCATCGCAGAGACGAGTAGTCACAAATGTTGGTGATGATACCAAAATAGTTCCAGGGAAGCAGAGGCTTCATGAGGCAAACATAAGGTATCCCTTCCGAGTGGCTGGAGCTCTGCTGGAACTCCCAGTGCACGCACTTGCTCCCTCCTGCACCTCCCTCATCCTCGTCTCCCTATGGTGCATCTCCATCGTGCCGGCTGCCTACCAGGCAGCTGGTACCTATTACTGAATCAGTGAATGAACTGGGCCACCCCTTCTTCCAACGCCCTGGTCCTGAAGCAGCCTCTGCCCGGCCTTTTCTTCTTTAGCTGGCTGCAGACACAGCAGGCCCCGACAGCGGGCTCAGTTCTGCCTGATGGGTAGCTCTATTTCTCATTGCACAGGATGATCAGTATCTTGCTTTCTCTATCCATTCCCACAGTCCCACCAGTGGGACTCGACGGTCTCAAATATGGCCCTAGCATGGGGGTCTTAGCATCAAAGGCAGATGGGGAGAAGATCAGCGGTGCATGACCAGTGCCTGTCTGAAGCAGCTCTGCTGTCCCTCAAAAGGAGCGTAGCTCACAAGTGCATGGTGTTCTCTCCATGCCAAGCACTGCTACACACACACACACACACACACACACACACACACACACAGAGAGAGATTAATTTACCCCCAATAGCAGTACCCCCAATAGCAGTACAATGATTGGTGATGAGACCTGACACCGGAACTGCACAGCTGGTAGTGAACACAGCTCTGTGCTTCCTAGGCCTGTGACTCTGAGCAGGTTGTTGTATTGCAAGTCTCTCTACCTCGGTTTTCTCATCTATAACCTGACAACAAGCACTTTTCTGATCCTCTATATTCATGGTGAAGGTGAGTTACGATACAGTACAATACAATGAATGCATGTAGTATATGTATGACAATCTGGCACTCAGGAAGCACTGTCCTGGTTAGGATTACTATTTATCAAATGCCAGACTCCACTTTCACGTAGAAGGCCCAGACACCCACTCTATGGTGTGCATGAGTCTGGACTCTGGTCTTCTGCTCACAGGTGCTGTTTCTGGCAAACCCTCCTCTTGGCACGTGAGCATCAGTGATGCGACCTGCTCCTCCAGTTTCTTGTTATTGAGAAAGAACATTTTATAATAGAAATGCTAAAACTGTTGAAAAGTGAGTGATTGCTAAACCTTTGGGAACAAATGGAAAATAATAACAAACAGGCAAGAAAACTTGGGCTGTGACAAACAGGCAAACCCAGGCCTCGACCGGGCCCGGCTCAAACTATTCAAAAGTCAAATACTACTGCGGGGTCCCTCAGTAAAAACTTCAGCGAGTAAACATTTTAGTAATAATCTCCTAAAAATAGTACAATTTTTGAGGCTCTCAAAAATGCACTTCATATAGTCATAGAAAATGAAATCTCTGACTTTTTTCTAACCCCTAAGAAGTATGCATTATTATTATCATTATTATTTTCGGTGCCGGGGATTGAGCCCAGGGCCTCAACACTGACATACTTCCACAGCTCTTTGTTTCATTTTTATTTTGAGACAAGGTGTTGCTAAGTGGCTCAAGCTGGACTTGAACTTTCGCTCCTCCTGTGCCACCTTTCACAGTGTGGGGACTGAAGGCAGGCACCGCTGTGCCTGGCTCGAAGCATGGCTTTTTTTGGTTTTGTTTTCTGAAAGGCAGGTTAGGGCTGTGTTTTCCATTTTACCCCCAAACAGCTTTAAGTTTCTGGCCCAGGTGAAGTTTTTAACCTGAGTTCTATGGGACAGGAGGTAATTCCTGAATGGGCCTGGGTGCGTGTATGTCCATGAACCACCTGAAAGTCTACAAAATGTAGTACACATGGTACATATGAAATTCTGTTTGTGGGGACAGGATCTCTAGATTCTGCCAGCTGCTGGAAGAGGTTTGCTGTCTCCCAGAGGCGGGGGACCACTGGGCTGGAGCATTCAAGGCCAGACAGGCCCACAGTGAATGTGGTACAGGGGTCTCCGTGTCCCCATGTGGCACCTCAGAATGCTGTTATGGCTCCCAAGAGTGTTGCACAGTGACCCACAAACTCAGGAAACTCTGCGTAGCAAGATCCAGGCTAAGACCAGAAGCCCAGATGGGCACAGTGCTATCAAACTGGCCCTGTGCAGAAGCAACAAGGGGTGAAGTGGCACCTGACCCCAGGAGGACTACAGGGTGTGAACCTGAAGTTAGGACATTTAGGACCATTTTAATGAAGAGGTATTTTTCCGTATGACTGCACCACAGAAAATAGGCTTTTAAAAAATTGTTCTATAGGGAGAAGTGTCATAACTCAGAAGGAAGGGGCTGTGTCCCAGAATCATTTTAGTAGAGATTATCTGTGTTTTTTGAGGGTTGAGCATACAGCAGACAGGACCTAGAGCCTGGCTTGAGCCTTCTGCTACGGGACCTGCAGTGCCCATGCGGCTCTGGAAAAGGCTTGCTTAGAGCAGGGACAGCACAGGGATGCAGCTGGAGAGAAGGGAGAACTTATTTTTTTTCTTGGTGTGGGGCCTCAAACCTGGGTCTGGCACATGCTAGGTAAGTGCTCTACCACTGAGCTACACCCCAGCTCTGAGGGCCGACTTGGACTGTTTCGTAGCACAGTAGGATAATTATGGCTGACAGTGGCCAGACTCTTTAAAATAGCTACTAGGGAGGATTTTAAATGTACCGAACGTAAAGAAATGATAGATATCCGAGGTGACAGATTTGCCAACTACCCTGATCTGAACACTTCACTCTGCATGCATGTATTGAAATCTCTTGCTATATGCTATACATGCCTACAATTACTATGCCTCAACTAAAAATATATCACACAAATTAAAAGCAAATAATGATACCAATGCCAAGAAAAATAAAAAAAGAAGAATTGAGGGAGAAAGTGTTGGTGCTCACAGCCACGCCAGCCACAGACTTGCAGTGTTTCTGTCCACAGCTGCCTTGCACTGTCTTTCCCTGAGTTGTAGAAAGCTGAGTTTTAGCACAGTCAGTTTCAAAAATGAAATCCAGCAACAAAGAGAACCCCCTCCAGAGGCCGTGGCTGCCCACCACGATCGCAGTGATGAGCGTCTGCATGCTCCTCCTCCAAGGGTTGTGTTAGGACTGTGAAATATGGTCTGTTCTGGGCTCCCTGCCTGCCCATGCAGCCTTCTACCCCTCACCCAGAGCCTGTGAAATCCAGGCTCTGCCCAGCTCTAAGCATGAAGTAATAGACTGGACTTCTTCAGCTCCCTGGTTTGCTAAGCCATAAATCTTGAGTGTTACAATTGGATTAATGTCTGCTCATTCAGATGTGATGAAGTTAATATCAGGCCATCGATACATGAGCTGCCAGACTGAAAACAACAAAGAGAGGAGACAGGAAGAGCATCCTGAAAAAGCAACGGATCTGGTGTGAAGGGGATTCTGCAATTTGCAGAAATATTACCATTTCATCAAAGGTCAGCGTGAGAGACCGGTAGAAAAATCAATAGATTTGAGAGTTGAGGAGAAGAGACTCAATACATAAATTCACGATATGACCTCTGTGCTGAAGGAATGAGGTAAAAATCTGTGTAATACTATCTCTTGGGAAGAAAACTGGTTGTCATAAATTGGACCATTCATATAGGTTCAGAGGTTCTTGCTGTGAATAGATTTTTAAAGAATTATCTCAGTGTAAAAGTGCGAAGAAAGAGCAAGGAGAGATTTAAAAACTGCACCAAGCTCTTAGTCATATCAACCTAGTTTGCTGGCTTCTTAGCATGAGGTGCTCACGTTTTCTAAGTGGGGTGCTCCATGACATGCTCCGCCTGTGCTCGGCGGGGTCTGTATTATCTCCTGTTGGTAACACTGGACTCTGAGGCCGTTAGTTACACAGCACTTGTGGCATCCATTAGAAAAGAGATTCTAGCTTTCTAATCTGAACAGCATAGTCAGAATGTACTACTCTAATCTGATATACATAATCTTGACTGAATGTTGGATTAAAAATATTCATTTTTTTCTGCTGCCTGCACCACCAGCAGTGATGCAAACACTGCCGACTTGGGAGTCTAACGGCAGCCCACCTGCACTGCTAAAAGCGGCATGGTCTGGTGAATGGGTACTGGGCACACCCTTCTCCATGAGGGGCAGATCCTCAGTCCCGCAAATGATTCTGTCTGCCGCTCTGCAGCACTCTGCTAACGCATGAGCTCGGTAACGCCCCATGGAGGGTGCAGCTGAAGGCGCCTCTGCAGTTGAGTGCCACCCAAACGAATTCTGTACAGAAGGGCTCAAATGGTATTTTTCTTCAAAATATAAGCTTACTCAGAGAGAAGTGTGGAGAGAATCAACTAAGGGAAGCCTGCTGAGGGGTCTTGTGTAGATTTTGGGGGTTTCAATCTCTGCCTTTGCTAGATGTTTAGGTGCACCAATCTAGAGGTCCTTGGTTCTTGAAATGTCAAACAGGATTTAACTTTATGTCACACTCTCTAGGAAAACATGGGTTGCTAAGGTTACTGGAAGATCAGAAGCTCAGGAGTATTTTGGATGTTTGACAATTGTAATTGTGACAAATGTAAATAAATTGCATTTATTTAAAAAAGGCTAATTCCAAATTATGATCAACTGTATTAAACCACTACGATGCCTGCATTAGAAGATGTTTAAAGCCATGAGAAGGAATTCAAAGGTCTAACAAAGTGCTCCTCCAGAGGCGTTCGTGTTCCGTCTGGCAGCGGCAGGGTTCAGAGGTGTCCTGGGTTGGACTCAGAGGTCCTTATCCCATCCCTGATGTGAGGCCCTGGGCCAGGCACGTGCTCTGTGAAGATCCTGTCAGCTCCTGTGCAGAGCCTGCCTTGCTCACATTTACAGACACCTGACAGAAGACTGCATCTGACTAGCAAAGCAGCCTTGAAAGAAGCCATTACTGATCTCATGCCACAGAGGAGGGAAGGCACTTAAGGTCGACCAGGTCATCTGGAGCTGGATGCAGAGTCCCTGATGGCGACATGAGATCCTGGGCTCTGGGCGTTGGTGTAGCAGTGGACACTGGGCAGAACAAGATGCCACAGTGTCTCCACTACCGCCACATCTATCGTTTTTCTATCCACTGCCTCCATGTCCAACGCTACCACAGGGAATAGCCAAATGCAGCTACTTACATGGATATTAAAATGTAAGACTGAATTCTTCATTTGCATTAACTATATTTCAGGTACAGTCATCCCTCATCTTTGGAAGATTGGTGCTAGGACCCCCTGAAGATACGAAAATCTACAGATGCTCAAGTCTTTTATATACACAGGGGTAGTGCTTGCATAAGATCAATGCACACCCTTCTGTATACTTTAAATCCGCTCTGGGTGATTTATAACCCCTTATACCATGTAAATGCTTTGCAAATGGCTGTTGAACTGTATTGATTACGGAACAATGACAAGAGAAGAAGTCTATACGTGCTCACTATGGATGTATTCTCCCCTCTAGCATCTTCTATCTCTGGTTGCTTGAACTGCAGATATGGGACCTGCAGATACAAAGGTGTGGGTACTATGAGTGAACACAGTACCCACACGTGACTGGTGGCTACCATACTGGACAGAGCAGCTCCAGAACACTTCTGCCACTGCAGAAAGTGCTAATGGACAGTGCTGCTCTATGTGTTGAAATCCTGCTTCCTGGTTGCCATGGCCTTTTCTACCCTGACACTTGTCAGCCCAACTTGGCCTCCATCCATTAGTGCTCTCCTCTTCCATGCTGTTCTGGACACCTCTAATCTCCCAGCCTACATTTTCCTGGTTTCCTTGATTCGCCTGCTCTGGAATTCTTGTTGTACATCACTCTCTGCTAAGCCCTGACCTTTGGTGGGTTACAACCTTTGGATTTCCCTGCTCCCGTCTCTGGGATACAAGGCTGCTATCATGTAGATCTGGAATGTCCCTCAAAGGCCCATGAGTTCAAGCCTTGGTCCCCAGGTTGCTGCTGCTGGGAACTGATGGGGTCTTAGGTACTGGGGCTGTGCATTGAAAGGGGATATTGGGATTCCATCCTCCCTTTCCTTTGTCTTTTTGCTTTCCCTCCATAAAGTGAACAGCTTCCTCTGTCACCCACTCCTGCCGTGATGTACTGTGGGGCCACAGGTCCTAGTCAGTGAGGCCAACTGACCATGCACTGCAACTTCCAGAACTGTCAGCCCAAACAAACCTTTGTTCCTTATAAGTTGAGAATCTCACACATTTGGTTGCAGTAACAGAAAGCTGACAAACACAAATATATTGCTAGAAATGATACAATCACGTGGAAGAACACAGGCTTTTGTACCTTGACAGAGAACATCATGGGTGCTGTGTAACATTCCTTCAATTCATCTCACAACAGTGACTCCCTAAGTCCTGGGCTCTCTTGGGATTCTTATTCTTTACAGATGACCTAATTCACAGGCAGTAGAGAAAATTATAGGAAAACCCCTGACACGAGCTTCCTCAACATCGTCTCTAGTTTTCTTTTGGGCTCCTTTAGCCAAAAGACCCACCTGCAATGCCCACATGGGAGCAGCATTTCCAGCTTCCTCATCTGTTATGGTTTAGGCCACAAATGACCCTATTAAACTCTCATGTGCTCAGAGAGTTTCCAAAAGCTCTGGACTTTTGGAAAGTGACTGGATCATGGGCACCATAGCATCTCTCTCGTGAACTCCTCCCTTTTGTCTCTCTGCTTCTGGAACACCACGATGTGAGCAGCCTTCCCCTGTGCTGGCCTTTTCACTGTGGTGTGCTGGAGCTAGGCGACCACAGAGTGAACCCACTGAAACTGAAAGCCAAGACAAACCTCTCCTCCTCCAATTTGTGGGTGCAAGGCGCTTTGTCCAGAGATGAGGAAGTGACAAAGAAGTCTTTGCTCATGTTGTCTTGTCATTTAGAGAGTCTCAATTCTGCCACAAAGCTGTTTTGGGTCATCCCACCCGACAGCAACCCCCTTTGTCTTCCAAATTCTTCTATATTGTAGATGCATTTCTTGTAGAAATGACCAGGTTTGCAGCTACCTAGTTATACACAGGTCACCTCGCATCTTCCCCCTAAACACCACTGTGAGAAGGGGCGGCTAGCTGGATCTAACTGGGCACCCAGCAGCAATTACCCTTCTTTCTACAGAGAACAGTCAGTACGTATTTATTGAACGGATGTGTATATACCTGTATTTACAAACATCAGACTCATTCCCAAGGTAGACAGATTGAATTCGATAATGAATTGACAAGCACATTCCTTGTAATGATCTCAGCGTGAAGTCCTAGCTAAATGGTTGCAGCAAGAGAACATCTGATGGGAAAATGAGGGCATGAATGCCCATGGCCAGAGCTGCAAGAAATTGCAAGTGCAGTATCCTCCTGAGGGAGGCTGGAGCGGGCACACAGCGACAGAGGATGGAAAGTAAGCAACCCAAGAAAGATATCAAAGCTGAAATAAACTTACCTTGCGTAGCAATATAATGATTGGGTCGATGATAGCCCTAAAAATAAACGAGAAAGAATACTTGATAAATTTAAAATCAATAAGTAGCACAGAGGTCACACGCCAAGTCTGCGGAAATGAATGCACACACAAACACCAACAGTCGCATCACTTGAAGGTTCATTGCCGGACCGGAGGCCATCGAGTTTCTCTTAATAAGCAAAGGTACGTCAAGTGCAGCTGCTCTGATGTGCGCCAGAGGTGTGAGTAACTATCACATGTCGGCCATGAGATGCTGAACGAGCAGTAAACGCTAACGACTTATGGATCTACTGAATAACACGACCACCACTCTATTAAGGTGCCAACAGGCTGGGAGGGGGCGATAGAATTTCATTTGTGTTTGGGATGTTATTGGCAACATGCCAGAGGCTTAACACATATTTTGTTACATCGGTATAGACAGTTACATCAATAGCAATACTCAGGACTATTCTTAAACACGGCTAATACTGTGATAGGATGCTGTAGCAGAGGCTAGGAATTTAAAGAGGCAGGACTTCTGCAAACCTCTCCTTTTTATCACGACCATATAAAAAGCAGGAGGGATGTAATTTGGTACTGAAGAGAAATAGGCAGAAAGGAAATGATGATAAATATCTGGGAACAATGAAGCCAAGTCAGGGAACAGTGCACCTACTAACTCATTACACCATCGCGGACCTTAATACTGTCCATTCTGTCCCCTGAGCCTGTCCCAGATGCTGTGCCCCAAGCTAGCTGGAAAACAGAAAAAAGAAATTGAGGAGGAAACACAGATTTCTCAGATAATTTAAATGTGTATCTGCTAGGTTATTTTCACTCTTAAAAACAAGAGAATAGCAATGAACCACAAAAGCAAACCTTCTTTTATACAACGGAACTGCTGCAGGTTTCGAGTTATAGTATGCTGACCAATATTGCACAGGACTGTAGGTCATTAATTACGCATTTCCTGTTACCTTGTACATCCCCCAAGGGCAAGAGCTTTATCTGCCTTACTGGTTCTCTCTGTCCAGTACCTAAGAAGGTGCCTCACAGGCAGGAGGGACACATTTGAGAAACTGAAGTAGCTCACAGTCTCGGAAGGGCCCCCGGAGTCACTTCTCATCCGCATCTCCCTGACCTATTTGCCTGCAAGTACAACGGATCCCTTTACATCTTTTCTTCACTTGCTTTGGGACCTGACTCCCTGCTGGTTTTTCCCTCCCTCCCTGGCCACCCATCCTCAGTTTCCCTGGTTGGCTCTTTCCCTTCCCCATGAAAATGACAGTGGCATGTCTCGTTCTTGGGTATTTTCCCCACCTACACTTACTCCCCTGTGATCTGATCCAGTCCCGTGACTCCAATACCATCTGGATCCTGAAGAATCCTATACTCTTGTTTCCAGTTTAGATCTTTTCCTTGAAACATTAACGTGTGTCAGTCACCATTTCCACTCAGATGTGTAATATATGTTTACAGTCTAACCCTGAACTCATTTCCTTCCAGCCACACCCAAATCTGCTCCTCCTGTCATCTTGCGAGAAAACAGCACTTCCATCTCTTCCAGGCATCCTTGGCCCTCTCTTCCTTCCACATTCTGTAGCCAGTCTGCCAGCAAATCCCACTGGCGCAGCCCTCATGGCAGCTGAGGACTCCACCATTTCTCCTCCTCCTCTGCTGCATGAGCATGGCCAAGCCACCATGGTCTCTCTCAGGTTGTTTCCACAGCCATCCAGCAGGTCTCCCTGTTCACCAACCACAGTCTCTGCTGGGCAGCCAGAGACTGTTGCAGTCCCTGCAATGACTGACTGGTTCCATCCACAGGCTGCGACCTTACCTATGCCTTCCCTAACCCTTCTTCACAGCACTCCACCCACACTCACCGACTTGTTTGCCTTTAGATCCACCAGGCAAGCTCTAGGGAAAGGCCTGTGCTCAGGCTGACCCTCCCCATATCTGCCCAGCCCCTTCCCTCATCTTCTTTCCAGGCTCCAGCTGCTCTATGCTAGACTGTTGCTCACCCACACACCTGCCTTGCCAATGCCCCTACGACTTCAGCTTTCTCCACAGCACAGACAGCTCCTCATACATGGTAGGGAACCAATTTATTTTACTTTCTGTCCACTTCTGTCAGTTAGATCATCAGCTCCATTAGGTCAGGGGCTTTCTGTGTTTTAAATTTTGTTTTACATTT